CCTCTTGTTACACCTGTCCGTCCTGTGCCTGCCAGCACCAGAGACACAACAGTTCTGCAGTTTGTTTTGCGCCATCCTTTTTTACTTGTGTTTCCTCTGCTCTGAAAGTTGTCTGACTTGTGCGTATCCGTTTGTATAACAGGGGACCATGTTCTTCGAATGCTAAATGTGACACTTAACTGACATGCACACAAAGTAATTTGTAGTCGTGTTAATAATTAACATGTTGTGATCAACTTCATAAAAATCAGTGAGACAAAAGAGCAGGAATGTCTGTGTGATGTGTAGTTCAGCACATCCAACTCACAGGGACGCTGTTGACCAGTCTGCTGAGATTTCAGAGCTTATTGCAGCAGTACCTCCCCCATCATTTCCAAATGTTACACACAGAGAGAGAAAACATATCGAAATGGCACAGTTTGGAAGAATGACGTGATAAAAGACGGCGATACTGGACGACAATCTTTCGCTGGAGTATTTATTTTGGTTATTTTCACTGACGATTGTGTCTAAAATCCTTTTTACTGCATAACGGATTTTATATTTCTTTTTTGTTGACGGAAAATCGTCGGACAGAACAATGATGCCGCGAGCAGGTCTGCTGTTTTTTCTCTCCGTTGTTTCTCTTCGCTCGGTCTGTGGCCAGGTCAGCTACTCCATCCCTGAGGAAATGGCGAAAGGATCTTTGGTCGGTAACATAGCACAAGATTTAGGTTTAGACGTGAAAAGACTGAAATCAGGGAAAGCTCGTATATATACAGGAGAAGGCACAGATCACATCGAGCTGAATAAAGAAAGGGGAGCCCTTGTAATCAAAGAGCGGATAGACAGAGAAGCGCTCTGCGGACAGACGACGCCCTGCGCTCTGGATTTTCAAATCATTTTGGAGAATCCTATGCAGTTTTACAGCGTTACTGTTGAGATCACCGACATTAACGACAACTCTCCCACTTTTAAAAACAGTGAAATGAAATTTGACATAAGTGAGACGGTTCAAATTGGGTCAAAATTTGTTTTAGAAAAAGCTGTTGACGACGATGTGGGTGTTAATGGGCTCCAGGGCTATTCATTGAGTTCAAGTGACATGTTCACCTTAAATCCCTATAGGATAGGTAGCAGCAGAAATGTTGAAATGGTTTTAAGGAAACCTCTTGACCGAGAGAAACAGGACCATGTCTCCGTGGTATTAACTGCTCTAGATGGTGGCAACCCTCAGCTCTCTGGAACCATTCAAATTGCCATAACTGTTCTGGACGCCAACGATAATGCACCTGTTTGTTCACAGGCGGAGTTTAAGACGAATGTAAACGAAAATTCAATAAAAGGAGCTCTTCTAACCACGGTGAGCGCATCTGATGCAGATGAAGGTCCACATGGGAAAATACGATATTCCATATCTAATGGTCCAAAGGGAGCATCAGAATTATTCAATATAGATGAAGATAGTGGGGTGTTCACATTAGTGGGAAAACTTGACTATGAGAAATTTCGGCATTACGAGATAGATGTTCAAGCATCAGATGAAGGCGGTAACGCAGATGTATGTAAAGTTATAATAGAGGTGCTGGACACAAACGATAACCCACCAGCTATTAATATAATGTCAGCGTTATCCAGTATATCTGAGGATGTAAAACCTGGCACTGTTCTGACGATGATGAACGTCCAGGATCCAGATTCAAATGAAAATGGCAAAGTCCACTGCGTTTTAGATGATCATGTTCATTTTAAAATCTCTTCCACGTCAAACAATTTCTTTTCTTTAGTGACAGACAGTGATTTAGACAGAGA